TGGAGTACAGTCTAATGTAAAAGGGATGCCTATGAGTACGGCAGGAGAGTGAAGCAGCGAGATGGAGAGATATTTTTTAGGGCACCACAGGACGCTTGGCAGGGCTGCTGCTGAGCCAAGATGAGTTGGAGTTTCCTGACACACCTCCTTGAGGAGATCAACTAGCATGCAATCTTTGTGGGAAAGGTGTAGATGTCTGTGCTGATTGTCTTATGCATTGTGTTGACTGCTGTGGGTGGTGGGTCCATCTACTATGGTGAACAGAGCACATCTGTCTGCAACACACAGCAACCTGTATGTGAGAATGTCTGCTACAATGCCTTTCTGCCCCCTCACATGTCTGTTTCTGGATCATCCAGACCATTGTGATAGCCACCCCTTCTGTGATGTATCTGTGATGTACACTGGCTCTCTCACCAGCCCCCTTGGAAAGCTGGGCCCCTCTGGTAGGACGTGGGGATGTCCGTGACTATGAAGGGACTGAGGACAATGGTGAAGACGACCCTATGATCTTTGAGGAGGTGGAACCAGAGAGGCGAAAGAGTCACAGAATCAGAAACATGATGGCCCTGGCACATCAAGAAGGATGGGCTGATGACAGCATATGTGCTTGATGTTTGGTGTTTGAGGTGGGCTTCCTCTTGGAGAAGTACCTCCTGTATTACTTTGAAGTCAACCCCTCATATGTGTGCTCCCATAGCCCTTGCCATCACATCATCAACTACTTTGTCTCCCGCCCCACTGAGAAAACCATCTTTCTCTTCGTCATGTATGCTCTGAGTGGGCTTTGCCTGCTGCTCAGTATCTGTGAGCTGTTGCACTTGGGCTTTGGAGGAATCCAGGATGCCCTCCGTGGCCTTGACAAGGATGGTGGTGTCCCTCCCAAGCCCCAGTATGCTCGGAAGGATCCCTGTGTAACCCCTAACTATAATTCTCTCAAGAAGGATCCCTCCAAGAGTCACCTCACTAAGGACAAAAAGACTTATGGTGGAGGGAATTTAGCCAGCATTGGTGCTGACCTCTATGCTGTTGCATTAGGCCTCCCAAACCATAAGCTGCAGCAACTCTGCAAGCATCTCAGGATGGCACAGGAGCACCTGGAGATGACTTTCCACCTTCAGCTAGAGGACACAACATCACATAGTAAGAGCCCTTGGTGGCGCAGTGGTTAAACGCCTGTACTGCAGCCACTCACTCATAAACCACAAGGTCGCGAGTTCAGTACTAGCCAGGGCTCAGGCTTGACTCAGGCCTGCATCCTTTCGAGGTCGCTAAAATGAATACCCAATTGTTGGGGGGCAATGAGCTTACAGTTGTAAACCGCTTAGACATCCCATAACGCGATATGAAGCATTATATAAATGAAGCTGCTTTAGTAGCAGTCCTGAATCTAATGGGCTGGCGGCAGAGCAGAACCACCTCATCCTGGCACACGAGAAGGAGGGTGCAGCCTGTGAGGGAACTACTGGTCTTTGAAGACCTTGCTGGGCCTCACTGGGCAGCTGCACAAATGACAACAGGAAGCATCTGTAGAAAATTGGCAGCATGTGAATGTGTGCTCCTTGCCTGAAGATTGGAAAT